TTCTACAGTAAATCAATTCTCATTTTCAACCACACATTCTTCAATAAAATATTATTTTCCATCACATCAATACTTTTTTCTTCTTTTTCAACCACACATTTCCCATCATATCACTATTCAAAATCAATTCTTCCCCCTAAAATCCCTCCCAAACAAGCTCGAAGTAAACTTAAGTGTCATTCTTTTTTTTTTTTGATAACCGTGGATGTTCGGGCCAGCTTGCGCGCATCTCGACTAATTCCACTGGGCTCTGAAGTTTACGGTCGGGTACTCACCTCAGTGGCCCCGAGGGGACTCGAACTGGTGACCATTGGGGAGCAAACCCAAGGCCTGACCAATTGAGCAACCCCTCAGGGTTAGTGTCATTCTTATATGAAGTCCGATAAAACAATCATAATCCTTCCTCTTGGAATTTCTTTTGGTGCTGGGAGAGAACAATTAATGGCATGTTTAGTAGGGGATGATTAGATAGTATTAGACAATATTATATTAGTAAATAAAAAAAGCTAAAATCTTGTTTATCAGACCGTGCAGTCCTATCTAGTACAATGTACCAAACATGCACCAAGTGGCTTGATTGTTTTCCATGTTTGCACTTATTCCTTCCGCATTGTTTAAAAAATATTTTTCATCTTAGTGGCTGGCATTTGTATGCAAGTTGAAATTATTAGTTTCATATATCCACTGTTTGAGTCACATTCTCATTTTCATTCTCTTTCTTCTACTCATTTTCAACCACACATTCGTCAATAAAATAATATTTTTCATCACATCAATAACTTTTTCTTCTTTTTCAACAACATATTCACCATCACATCACAAAAAAAAATTCATTATTTCCATTTTAATGTGCATCAAACACACTTACAACGTTGACATCTTGCAAATTTTTGACCCTTCTGTCCTATTTGTCCTCAGTGGTTTCTTCTTTTTGTACAGAAATGTCTGGCTGCATGTTCAAAGTACATGATCAAGTGTCCGGTGCTGTATTAAATTGTGCCTTTGGTAATTGAAGACTTGTATTTTGACTTGTGAAGCAGACAATGCCAGAATTTCAGGCATATTTGTTTGTCCTTTAAAGTATTCACAATCTTATGTATGTTCGGGATAACATGTTAAGTTCACTTTGCCATTGCCTTCAGTTCTGTCAGCAATTCAGTGTTTTTATTTCCCATGGGGCTAGTTTGGTTTATTTGCATGTCATGTACGCTTAATGCTAAATCTTTCAGGCATATTTCTTTGTCCTTCAAAGTATTCACAATCTTATGTATGTTCGGGATAATATCTTTAGTTCACTTTGCCATTGCCTTCAGTTCTGTCAGCAATTCAGTGCTTTTATTTCCAATGGGGCTTGTTTGGTTTATTTGCATGTCCTGGAAGCTAAATGCAAAATCTTCTGGTGCTCATCCTCTGTTATTACCTCGTAATTCTACCCCAATGCACCCTGGCATACACCACTAGTCTCCTTTAACCATCTCCCAGTAAAATTTTGAAACCTTATCACAAGTTTGAGGTGTCATTTTTAGTGGGGTTTTGACACGTTTGACACCACAAAATTGTAGTGAAGTGTCGATATTTTATCATGAGACAGCTGTGGGGAGCAGAAAAGGGAAATCCAGACCTGGACTTGTGTTTTACATCTTCAATACGAAGTCCTCATGTCGTGTGTGTTTTGTGATCTTGTGTGAGGATTGCCTTCCTGTGTTTGCAAATCCGAACTTCAGAATGATTCGATACATTAAGCAAACTCTCTTTCATACAGAAGCTAAAAATAGCACTTATTTTAGATGGGTGCAAAATCAACAGGTCGTAGTTTAGAACTTTGGATTTTGGCTGATTTTCTAATAAGGATTGTATAATTAGTACACTGATGTATCTACGTATAATCTAATAAGCTCTAACTTTAAATTATCTTATCTAAAAACTTCGACTATCAAGAGAAGTTCCTCTTGTTCATTCAAGGTGCCAACAGTCCATCTCATACGAAAAGACTCTAGTGAAGATTAATCTAAAAATCGTTTGTTCTATTTCATTTGAGCACTTTACTTTTTGCTGGATATGTAGATGATATATACTGGAACTTGAGTAAAAAGGATTAATCCATCTTCAAATGATATACTTTCATGGGTTGTTAGCTTTATAACTATATGCCAGTAATGACTGATTTAGGTTAACATAGTGGATTTTGCCAAACGTGGCCCTGGTCGTCCAGGCAGGCGCCCAGTAAATAGGGGGCGCATGACATGGCCAACGCCTGTCACTCCAGTTGAGCAAGCACTCTCTATGGTGCTACGCGGGGACGAGCAATACTTTCTTTTCTTGAATATATAAACAAATAAATAAAAATCTCGTATCTTTAATAGCTTAATTTTTTAGCGACGAGAACTGTTCAACATAAGTAATAAACAAATGAACTTGTTTTCGCACAAGCCAAATTCAAGTCATATCTTGAATCTGTCAAACACACAGAGAGAACTGAGAAACACACTTTACATGGAAGACATGCCGATATCCCAGATATTCAATTACCAAATGAGAGAAGCTTAACCTCCAAAGCACCCACAAACCTTTGTAGGAGCATGCCCGGTTGCACGAAATTTTGCAGACATCTCCTCTGCTTTGAGAATTTCTTCTCCTCGTTGTGCTTCAACCATAGCTCTCTTCTCTTCTGCTTGCTTGTGAGCGAGAGCTACTTTGTTTCCCACTTTTTCTGCATAATCTGCTTTCTTCTTCTCCAATTGTTCCTGCCATTTCGTGTACAAGTAAAACCATTACGCAGTTTGGTACACACACACACACACTATGAACTATAATGCATGCGAGAAATGATAGAGATTTTAACTTCTTTTACTTAAATCTTGTTTAGTGTTTAGTGTTTAGTATAGCCTACTAAATGCACATTAAAGCTACAATGAAAACAACTTCATAATGTTATTTTGTACCAATGACCATGACTAAAGATCGAAGGTCATATAAATGTGAGCACTTTCATTGCAAATTACGTCGCTAATAACCAATATACAATTTTTTTCGAAGATCTGTGAGTATTTCAATTACCTCAAATTGCTTTAGTTGGGCTTCAAGAGCTGCTTTTTTGCTGTTTTCCCATGATGAAACCTCAGAGAGCTTCTTTTGTGCCCTGTTCCATCATACACACAAAATAACCAGTGTCTAACAGTTACTTTCAGCAAGGTTGAAACAAATAAATCAATTATAATGCCGTAACATTCACTAATGTTTCAGTTAAAATCATTTTTTCGTTCCATTCAAAGAAGTCTTGCTCTCAAACAACAGAAACTATAGAAGAACACACAAAAAAATTATTCCATCCTTTCGTTTCAATCTGATGCACAATGCAATAGGTGATACTCCATTTTACACCTCCCAAAGACCAGAACTTATAACCTGAAATTGACGCCTTTTTCAGCTAACTTTGAAATTGGGGGATAACCCTGGCACATTTTGGATTCAGGGATTTCCGATTTACTCCATGTTTGTTTACTGTTATTTCAAAACTCTTTTTTTCTCGAACTCGTTTTTAACCACACATTGTCACAATAAAATATTTTACACATAACCCAAAATTTTTTCCAACTTTTTAACCACAAATTCTCCAAAAATTCACTATTCCAAAGGACCAAAACTCATTTTCATTGAATAATGGTAGACAAACAAGAGCTTAAGCAATTTTGGACAATTCAGCAAGGAAATATCCCTATCCTATCTAGCAGTATAAACTTCTTAAGAACTTTCTTCTAGGATTCTCTAGGGATCAAATTTAAAGGATATGAGCTGAGGAGGAAAACCGTGGATAAGTTCTTCCTCCAGTTGTCGAATTCGATAAAAGAAACCTCAAAAAAAACCAAAATGGAGAAAGTAAAGACGATATGTGATAGGATGTGTGTGCATTAAAGCATCCGAATTGATATGCAGCATTTTTACAGAGTGATGTTTCTTCCTGGTACCTTGAATATGCAATCCTAGAGGCAGATAAGACTTACTTATTCTCCACTTTGCTTTTCTCACTTTCCTCCCACGCCTTGATAAACGACAATCTCTTATCACCTTCAAGCTTAGCAAGAGCAATATCTGGAAATATAGACAGTTATTCATCTTGCACAGATATAAACATCTATTTCTTTTGCAAAATAAACTTGCATTTCATAGGATCATCATCATACTTGGTGATCAAAAATCTATTAACTTACTAGGCCCATATTTTGAATGAAATTCTACCATGTTCCCTTTATAATCTTCTGATACAACCAATTCATGTTGACATAAGCAGAGAAACAAAAATAACTTCTGAATCTATGCAGGCTACCCAAATTCTCAGTTCTTTCACAGATGAACAAATTGTAGTCGATGAAATGAGACAAATTGCGAATACTACCTCTGTCGAGGGATCCTTTTGAGCTTTTCTTTGGTAAAGGTTCTGGAGCCTCTGTGTTCAAACAACCAAACAAGTCAAGTTTTACCAACAGTAAACAAGCCTTGAAGAAAGCCTATATAATGTTTTTTCAATCATTTATGCAAAATAATCTTTGTTTGATAGGGATCCATATTCATTCCTAGATTCTCAGATTGCTTATCTTGCATTTAAAGGTGTTTTGTACTATGCACCATGTTGAGAAAGAACAAGGAAAATAGTCCAAGAATATTTCATCATTTAAACTACTTTCTGGTTACAATTCGACATTTGTGCCATAATTGATGCAGGGATATTATTAACTTGAGGGAAGATCTTGTACAATGCGAAGAACATTATAAAAGCTTCCAAAGCCGTCAGAGGATGGGTCCAGATCAAGAATGGTTTGGAAGATCCAACCAAATATAGTGGTATTTCCTAACGAAAACATAATCGAGACAGTCAATCAATATTTGTTACTCTTAAATCTGATTCAAATCCTACGTAAAACCTATGAGTTCACGAGAAATGTAATGAACCCTTTTTTTTTAATGAATAGATCTGCCCTCTATAATTATGAAAGATATTAATATAAAAGAAAAACCAATACCACAAATTTCCCCCAAAGAAACAGCAAAATAAAATAAAATAAAATAAATAAATAATGGATAATTCCAAATAAATGCTAGATGACAAGCTCAAATACAGTTGGAGTGGACCCTAGCTATAATTGCAAAGATGACATAAGCCGTCTTATGTATAACCATCCATTCTTTCAATTAAATAAATTTAAAATTTTTCTTTACTTTTTAAACTTGCGATCTCTGAAAATTTACTATTAAAAATTTATTTCTCCCAAAAAATTAGCTCAAACAGATAATAAATAAGATTAATTGGACAGATGGCAATAGCACATTCGGTGTCTATCTGTTCATTTTTCTAAAACTATAATAAAAAATGCTATTCATGCCCACTGGATATGTATCCATTAAATGATAGGCGTTTATGTGGCGTTAATGTGACATTAAATGATAGGTGAAATTAAATAAGTCATTTAATTTCACATTTCATTTAACCTATCATTTACATCCACGTAGACTGGGAATTGTTAGCCATAAATTCTCCTAATAAAAATAATTTTGTACGTTTTTCTTACTTTTTAATTAATTTTTTTTTTAAAAAAAAATCACTTTTCACAAATCTATCTTGAAAAAATCTATATCGAACCGGGATATGATTAGATAAGGATTTCTGTACAATCTGCAAATCGATGCTAAACCCAAAGTCTTATCAAAATTGAGTCCATAAAGATTCTTTCTGATGTGCTATAATCTCCATTGTTCTGGGATTTTTTACATGGGTAGTATTAATATCTTGGCAGAAAAGCATAAATTCTAAAAGTTCTGGTTTCAAAATGAAAACGAGGAGAGAAATAATTACTTTCGGAGACGGCAAGAGCTTTGGAATCATCGACTTTCTCGTGAGGCATCGGAATAACAGATTTATTCTCCAACACATTGCTTGGCTTCTCCATCGCCGCCGACGCAAGTGGTGGCTCCGCCGTAGCTTCAGGTTTCGCAGTAACAACTTCCTTCGGTACTGCTTCTGCAGTTGCCATTTATACAATCTCTCCAATGGCGAATAATTAAAGCTAAAAGGATTTCTCCACTCAAGAACAGGGAATAGACAGTCTGTAATCAACCAAAAGGATAGGATTATAGAATTTTATCAGCGGGTTCAATGAATGAACAAACAAAGAAAGAGGCTCATCAATATAAATGTTTTAAGTGTGCATGGTGAGGAATGATTGCGAGTTCATCCGTGGCAGGGCGTATAGTGAGGATGCTTTGTTATTGACCGTTGATCTTTAATGGATCTTTGATCAATGATTTATTAGAATGGAAGCACTAATAAATTTTAGGAAAAATTGCAGTCACGATCACCAACTTTTTAAAGCTTTTGCAATTTTTACCTTAATCTTTCATTTGTTCCAACAATAATCCCGAACTTTTCAATCGTGCGTGCCCAGAAGACAAATGGATGATTTTTTTCATTCAATGACCAGAAAATTAAGTTTGACCATATTTTTAACATTACAAAGAGGGTAAAATAGTAATTTTATATTTACCACATTATGATATTAAAGTAATCAAATTGAAAAACATGGTCAAACTTAATTATTTTAATCGTTTAATGTGATAAAGATAAAATTACTATTTTATCCTTTTTGAAAATGTGAAAAATGCGATCAAACTTAATTTCTGGACAACTAACGTAAAATGGATGGTTTTCATCCATACGTCATCTAGCCGCACACAATTTTGGTAAATATGTTTTAAATAAAAATTATTATTTTGCCCTTTTTTTCTATTCTTAATTAAAAAAATAAATCTAATATTTACATTTAATTTAAGAAAAACTATGCATTATTCCTAAATTTGTTTATCAGAGCAACCTTTTTTTGGTATTTTTCAATAAGACACCATTTTTAACTATTCATAAATTTGTCCACGCTATTGCCTATTAATTTATTTTATGTTTTATTACGCTGATCATTTTTAAAACCGCATTCAGACAATAAAATATTCTACACGTATCCAAAAAACTTTCCTTACTTTTTTAACGCATTTTTCTAAAAATCAACTATTTAAAACTATTTTTTTCTACAATAATGATTGTCTCTTGAGTATTGAATCATAGAGGGGTCCATACCATAAAATTGTGTCCAAGTGAGATGCAGAGTAGTATTCCCTTGTGCCGACAAACTTAAATCAGGTTACGCCAAAATAAAATAGTGAAAAAACCTGAAAAGTTTCTTTCATATAAATTAAAGGTGAATTAATTAAAAAGGTATTTTCACTGTATCAATATATAAATAGCTATATATTTAAATTATTACTTTAAAATCTGTCGTATAAAATGCCTTTAAGAAGTTATTCCTTCTATGCACTGACGTTTCAATTTTTTTTTCTACTTACTCATTTTTAATTATACATTCATACGATAAAATATTCTGCACGTAAATCTAAAATATGCTCTTAAATCGAATAAAAGAATGATTATAGGTTTAACCCACAATTAAAGGTCTTGATTATGATTTATGAACTCCCAATAAAGGAGATTTCAGCCCACAGAATAAATCCTTTCTTATTTTGAATTTCTCAATGTAATTATTATCTTTTGAAACAAATAATGGAGATATTTTCTATTTCTTTCTCCATATATCTTTTATTTTATTGTGTGAAAATACTGCAACTAGTAATCACAAGTTCGAATCTCATTACATTTATCTTATTTTGTATTATATTTAAAAAAGAAAAAAGAAATAATGGTTGTCGCTCGCAACATATATCCTACTACGAGTTGTATAAAGCAAGCACCCCTATAAAAACATCTCTTATTACAAATTCTAAATAACGTATAACTTCTTTGAGATTTATGACAATTTCAGAGACACCTCCTTCGTGTTCAAAAAAATACACAAACATTCCTTATCTCGAGTTTTGAATACTGCATACCTTCTCTTATGTTTATAACAATTTTAAAGACACCCATTCTATTTTCAAAAGTTACACAAAACTTCCTTATATCGAGTTTTGAATAACGCATACCTCATTTGACCAATTTTCTTTCAGGTGTTAGTATAAATAATAGTTGTAACGCTTAAAATGAAATTTCTTCCATCTTTTGGCTCCTTTAACAATAACGTAATATTTAAAATACCATTTTAACATTTCAAAATTAATCAACAAACTATAGTTTACACCATTAATTCTTATAAAATATTTTTAGCATCAATAAATTTTAAAAATTATATTGGGAAACACAAGATATATGAATTCTAGTTGTATTTTCATCTTAAACGAGTATTCAAAAATTTGATAGTTATGAACAAAATACTTTCTTCTTTGAAGTTGATAAATAACACGACTACATTTTTCAATACTTAAAGGTCAACAAATTTATAATTTGTTCTTATCCTTTTTCTTCAACGGAAAGTTGGCAAGAAAAAAGGTTGCTCAATGATCAATCAAGTGTCTTACTTCATTAATATTTTGTTACATTTTGTATAAAGTGATGAACTATAGCCAAAATGAGATATCTAGTATTTCGTTTTATTAAGATGTTGTTCTAATTGTGTTCATTACTTCACCATATGTAAATGTATTTTGAGTTTGTCCAATCAAAGTAGTTGTTGATGTATTTTTGATGAGTCGATAGTCTAAATTATATTTGTTGTTGATTTAGTTAGAAATGTTAAAAGGGTATTTTGAAAATGGAGGGGCGTCTCTGAAGTTGTCATTAATCTCAAGGGAGGGAGATCTTTATAATTTTTCATAGAAACTAATATTGAGCCAAAAAGCATTTGAAAGATCGATCTTTATTTTATGTAGATTGAAATTAAAAAAAAAAAAGAGAGGTTTCTCGTGCTTCAAATACAATTATAAATAAAAATTCACTAAGAAATCTAGAAGCAAGTACGTAACCTTTCAGGCTAAAGCACATATATCTCTCTTTCTTTAAAAGATACAAGCTCTCTACAGTGTCCGAAGTCTTGAATCAACGGTGCAACAACTATCTTCTTGACTCGTTATCTCTAGTGTACAACAACTCAATTGAAACGTTGTTTAATCAAATCTATTATATAAAATATCTTCAAATTTAGAGAGTCAAGAATAACAATTATGCATTTGAAGAATCCAAGAAAAGTGTATCTATCATCACGGGCGGACCCAAGGGGGTCCTAGGGGCACGTGCCCCCAACTTTTGAGATTTTATTTTTTATTTTTTAAAGTCAAGTTTGGTATCGATTGAAATTTAATTTTTAATCTAAATCAAAGTTAACAATTAATATTAATAATATATTTCTTGGTATTCATAACTGCTTAACTTTTATCAAAATTTACTAAAAAATTGATTTTAATCTTCACCAAATAGAGGCACAATCATAATAAATTTGAATTTCGATAATATGCTAATTTTAAAAATTCTCCGATGATCGTACGCTAATCGAATCTATAAATTGCTTATGTCATCTCAAAACTTATTTTAATAACTACATTATGGGCATATCGAATAGTCCAAACAGATATCAAAAATAGTTAAAAATACGTTAAACGTGAATCTTAAAGAAACATGTCTAACTCGCATTTTTTTAAAAAAAATAATCAATTATTTCATTAACATTTATTATTTTTGAGATACAAATTTCTCAATATAATTTTCGTCATTTTATACGGAATATAACATAAAAAAATTTCAAAATTTTACATCCGAAAAAGTTATATCCCAAGTAAATTTTTGGATGCAAAATTACATGGGGTATGATTTTTTTGAATGTAAATTTTCGATTGTAAAATTTCTCCCAACTTCTTTGCAAATTCAATTGTGCTTCCTAACTTTAAAGTTCTGCATCCGCCCTTGTTTATCATGATAAATAATAAATATTGAGAATAATTATTGGTTCCTCTTAGTAGTGAATAAATAGAAAATCTTTTGTAATCTCTTATTAAATATAAAAGTTGAATATACAAAAACTTTAATAAAATATCACACAACTGGGGTATGATAATTTTTCATATTTGGACTCAACAACTGTCTCGAAATAGACATTGTGTATTTATTTAATATTGGATCTGATTTAATTGTGAGAAGGTTATTTTTAATACATGTAAGGTTTATTTGAACATGATTTAGGGTCGGTTTGGCATAGGTTTTGAAAAGTCAAAATGGTCTTTTAAGACCCAAAATTTGTTTTTGGATCCATTTGTCTAATTTTACGAAGGGAAGAATTCATGGATCAGATTTTGACTATCACCAAATCAATTTTCAGACCTTAAGTTTAAAAATTGTAAAAATTAGGCATTTGTTAATTAATTAAATATATTAAAATCACAATTATACAATTCATGATCACGTATACATATTTATGGGTCACAACTTATTTATTGGTCATTGGTCACAGATTATTTTTCGATCATAAATTAGAAAATTTATAGGTCACAAATTATTTTACGATCACAGATTAAAATTTTCATAGGTCACAAATAAAAAAATAATAATAGGTCACATGTCACAAATCACAAATATTTTGAGTCGCAATTTATTAGTCAGTCACAAATTATTAAATTAACGATCACAAATTAATAATTTTTTAGGTCATTGGTATGTGCTGTCGCATGCACCAAAAAGTAATACATTAACCTCTAAAACTAATATAGTAGTGGAAGTAAGAGTCGATTCCACGAAGAGTGTGTAATTCAATATTTTATACTTTGTACAATGCTTGTTGGTTTTTGAATGCAAACAATTGTAAACAACGCAATCAATAACAATGAAAATTAAATTAACGAAAACAATTAAAAGACTAACATCTGTCTAAGTCGACATCCACCGTCGGAAATCCACGATTGATCATAGATGCAATGATAATTCAATTCATATTTTGAATATTTATCATTGGAATTGATTCATATTTCTCCTTAATTTTAGTTAGTTAGAAATCAACGTTCTAATTAACCATAATTATTAAATACCCTAGACCAGCGCTTAAGACTCAATTTAATAACACAACTTTACACAATAGAGAAATCGATGAACTAGAAAACACAAACACTA